AATTTAATATTTTACACTGTCTAAAAAAAAAACAATCCAAGGGATGAGATAATCAAATGGATTAACTTAACTAGTGAAAGAATTTTATCAAGGATTCCTTTTGTCAGCCTTATAAATCAGTTTTCCATGTAGTCCTGCACTGTGCTTTTTTGTAAAAAAAAAAACAAAAAAAACCAAAAACCAGGTGCCAGAACTCACACACGTTATACAACCCGCCTTGCCTACCCTACAAGTTTCCATCCAAAAAAGGTACAGGAACTCTGTTCTGGGTGTTCTATGACAAAAAAAGCCCTGGTCCTGCATATACTGCATCTCCCAATCAGCTGCTAAGGATTGGAGGATTCCTGATAAAAGTGTGAATGGGCTGGATATAACATTTCAGAGTTTTTTAAAAACGTAAACCTTTTTCATGTAAACCTAGGTTGAGGAGTTTGATATGGTAGACAGTATCTCACGGCTCCAGGTTTTGATACATTTTTTCCTATGATATGGAAAGTGGGCACTGGATGAAGATAGATGGTGTATACCTCAAATTAATCAAGGTGCCCTGTAAGACTTGGAATTAAGAGAAGAACAGGGTGATGGGCTCCTTTATAGGATGGCATGGAATCGATGGGGGGAGGGGTCTGCTGCAAGAAGGAAAAAAATTGATTCTGAATAATCATAAGATGGTTGGATATAAAGAGACGTTTGAGACAAAACTTGTAGGAATGGAACCAGTATCTGTATCTCATCTGTGCAGATCTGTATTCCCATTCCTACAAGTTGTTGAAGTGCAATGGAAAGTTCCAGCACAAATTAGAAATTGTGTTTTCCCCAAGTGAGCATGATGTTTGCTGATTATGATCCCAGAGGAACACACCTGGTCCTGCTTTGTGGTTCTCAATTCATCTGAATCTATCTCCAGAGTAGAATTTATGAATCAGGGAAAATGACATTATACTAAGAGTTGTTTTCCTGTTGGATTCATGCCTGTACATAAGAGCTTGTAAGAGGACTGTCTTCAAACAGCTTGACTCTTCTGGTCATAGTGTTATTGTTTGGCAAATAAAACCAATCAAATATTTGGGAAATGTGTTCTGAGTTAACTAGGCAGAAATGGTAAACTATGGAATGAGCTATTGCTTTTTTTCATTCTCTTCTTTTTGGAGAATTTATTTATTTATTTATTTATTTATGAGATTTGTATACCGCTTTAAGTGCAAGCACTCTCTAAGCGGTGTACACCAGTAAGCAATGTATATATATATTTTACATTGCCCCCAACAATCTGGGTCCTCATTTTACCTACCTCGGAAGGATGGAAGGCTGAGTCAACCTTGAGCCGGTGAGATTTGAACCGCTGACCTGCTGAACACAGTCAGCTAAAGTGGCCTGCAGTACTGCACTCTAACTGCTGCGCCACCTCGGCTCGTATGATTAGGTGAGGCTTCTTTAAGCAGGACTGCACAGAATGGCTAACTGTGGAAGTATTATTGGGCTCATAATTGCCTGAATGCTGTTTTGGGTTCCTTCCTTTACAGAATTGATTGAGTTTTTATGTTCACATAATACTCTGGCCCCATTAGGCTAAGCATAATTTTATGCTTCAGTAGAAAAAAACACCAAGTGATTTGGTAGCATGCATACTGAGAACTTCTTTTAAATAACAACAAAGTATCAGTTAAAAAAATAAATCATATCTATTTTAATGCCACGAAACTTCTCCAGAAGAGGGGCTTTGAAACATGTAGCTCCCCAACAGCTCTTTCTGAATTGCTAAAACTGCCACAACTATTTCATATTCAAGTAGTTGTTTCAGAAGATGCTCCTGGCAATCTCTGCATATATGTGCTTCTGAAGTGGCCCTACTATCTCTGCAGTTTCCATGGGTTCTGATTCTAGTAGAAACTGACAGTTATGAAAAGAAAAAGCTAAAAACAGAAAAAATAAAAATAAAAAGTCTTGAGTAAACAATTTACAGAAATACTTATTTACCTGTCTGTCATAGCAATTTGTTCTAACATTGCAGATCCAGTGTTTGTCTTCCAATTTCCAGATATAGAAGTTCTCCTATGGAGAAATAGAAATGCTAAAGAAGCACACAGGTCTTTTCAATTTAATTTTGTTATTAACTGTTCGTTTATTAGGAAAAAATGCTTCCCAGCACAAATGTGAAATATAAAATAAAAAATAATAAAAAGATCCTAAATAAACAAAAGTATGCAATTCGATTTGATCAAGAAAGTAGATACTGATTCTTCATTAAATCAACTTGCAGTCATTTTAACAACACAAAGGATAAACTTAAGAATTTAAGTTCAGTGAAGCCATGTTAAAAGAGAAAGCATTCCTGCTCAACTTAAATAAATACCTGATTATGACAGATAATTGGAATTGTGTTAATAATTATATAATTGCATAAAAAACTATATGATTAATCAATACACCATGAGATCTGAATCTTTAACCAGTATTATGGGTAAAAACTGTGTGCCTTGCACTGTATTTTTAGGGAAAAATTAGTAGATAGTTTAATGTCTGCTTTTGTGGTGTTTGTTTTTTACACTGTGTCACTTCTTTGAAATGTACTAATAATGCAATGCCCACATGTATAAATCTTTAAACATTACAACATCTCTGAAATTGGGAATTCCCAACTACCTGTAGTTAACTGCACATAAATTAATTATCACATAAGTAACAGAAGATTGCAATACCAGAGGTTTTGAAAACAGCATTGAAGCTGTCAAGGTAGCTTATATTTCCCTTGCCACCTCTTAAACTAATTGGTCATTGTGCTAAAACCACAAGTATACAAAAGCAGGTTAAATTTTATTATGGAACATTTAGCTGCTGACTAAACATCAAAATAATGTTGATTTGAGTATAGCTATGACTCAAGTATTTAATACGATTTAACTGTAAAAGCTAAAGGATTTTATCTCAAAGGTTCTACTATCCCATGAGAAGATGTACTAAAAATAAAAATGAAATTTAAGTTAAATTAAATATATTCATATTTCTGTTTGAAAAATAACAGTGTCAAGATTTATTCTATATATAAATATGAAATAAAAAACTAGAGAAATAGACTACTCACACAGTACAAAACCACTTTACTATCGCATCCCTCACAGATGGCCATCTAGCTTTTGCTTAAATACCTTCTCTGGCAAGTCTGCCATCTCTCGTGATAGTCTATGCTACTATTGCAGTTGCAGTTAACACAGGGATATTTTTCCTGATAGCCAACAGAAATGTATTTTCTTTGAATGTATACTTATTTTTTCTTATCTTGCCTTCTGAAGCACACTGAACAATTCTGTTCCATTCACTACATGGCAACTTTTCAGATAGTGAAAGAGAACTGTCATGCCCACAGTCTACTCCTCTGGAGAATATGATGATTTATTTGGATTTATATTATATTTATAGACAATTTATTTTATTGTTGATTGATTGATTTCCTGATGTATGCCATTCAGAGTCACTTGTTAAGATGGGCAGCTATAGAAATCAAATAAATAAATTGTTCTTTTGCAATTACTTTATGACATGTTGTTTTCTCTGTTGAATAATACTGAAGTTCATTTGGATTGTTTTAAATGAACTGCAACACAAATTTGATGAATATGGAATACATAAATAAAATACAGGAAATGATATTAAATAATTTTCATATTTATTCAGAATGTGTCTTGTTCTCACTCTATTTTAATATATATGTTTGAAAAAAGGAAAGATTCAGTTCATTTTTCTGAATAATTTGGATCCATTATTAGAACTGATGATTGTCCTTTCTGCTAAAGAAAACAGATTACTTACCTTTCCCAAAACAGAGTAAATAATGTTCATTCAATTTCAATGTGGAAGAACAACAACATCATACAATCCCAGAATCTATTTGCTCACATGTAGGCTTTATAGTTGTTTCCAATCTTTTGGATCCTGATGTCATATTTGGAGTCTATGTAGGGTTCAGTAGTAGCATAGGTCTGGGTAAGTGCTACCACACTAGCTATATCCTGAAAATCATAATGGTTGTCTACTTTGACCTGTTTTCAACATCCAGAGTTATTTTGCATATGGAAACAAAAAAGAAAAAAAGAATAAGCAGGAATTAAATTTCTCGGTATTTCTAAGCATAATAGATTTCTCAGAGAAATACATTACTAGTCATTCTTAACGACCAATAATAGTTGAGACTTGATAGTAAGGATTGTTGATCATCTCTCTGCATTAGTCCCCTCCAACTTCCACATTTGTTGTACTACAATCATCCATAGATAGGAATTGATTGTTTGAGGGACAGGTAATACAATGCAACCCATGTAGAGACCAGCAGGTTGGAAAAGTCTTTCACATACAGTATAATTTTTCAGACAGATTTAATATTCTACCCAAAATGAAGACTTCATGATATTCCATTAATAAAATTACCCTGAAAAACAGTTTTGATAAGTTTTCCCCAAAGCAAAATCAATGGGCTGGGATCTGGCAAATTATAGAACTAATATACAATTAGATGAAATCTTTCTACTTTTGAAACAAAGCATTTTCTTCAAAGAATTTTTACTCCTTAAGGTGTATTTCAGCTTAAAATGATTTGAGTCTTATGAGTTTTTAAACCTGTGCTCAAGAGACTAACATACTGTTTATACCTTAAATTAAGCAAATACTAAGTGGCAGACTCCATAGTACGTATGTCAAAAATTTCCATAATAACTGCTTGAAGTTTTAATCTTTTTTGTTAGAGAGTTTGAACTGACCAATATTTACATAACCAACTTCTAAAAAATAATTTAATCTTTCCCCAACATACATAACTAAAGCATGATCACCTTTCCCATGCCTGAATGAGCATGTCCAATTTTCACAACAACAGGAAATGTTGGCAATGTCAGCTGGGGGAAAGAAAGAAAGAAAGAAAGAAAGAAAGAAAGAAAGAAAGAAAGAAAGAAAGAAAGAAAGAAAGAAAGAAAGATTTAAAATAGTTACATAACCAATGAATAATTCATTATTAAGATCTTGTTTCTCTGTAGATAAAAAGGTTGCATTAGAAGTCTTTTAAAATGCCATGTAATCTCCAAAGAACCTTAGGGCAGGACAATATTTATTTTCCAGAAGTGTTCGCCCTTTACAAATGATATAGTCTGTATAATCAGCATAGTGATTACAAACTAGAACTAAAAGTAAAACTTAGTATTAAAACATAGGGTTTTAATTCATTATTTACTCAGATAACATGTGAAATGGAAAATCTGATTTACAGTATACAGTGGCGGGATTCAACCAGTTCACACCACTTCAGCAGAACCGGTAGCTAATTTTTTGTTGCCCAGGCCCAGAATGGACTTCCGGAAGCAGCATCCACACAGAGAATCAGTTATTCACATATTTGAATCCCACCACTGAGTATACCACACAGGTACAATTTTGCTAAATATTCCAAAACTGACTAGAATTTACTTTGTGTTCTGAAACACTGTGTGTGTTTCTTCTATAAAAAAAACTCTCATGTTTTCACCAATAATATGCTTTTGGCTTAAACAAAGGAAAAACAATCCCCATGTCAGGAACCCTAAAAGTTACTTAAGATAAGGCTGGATTGTCAGATTTTCTGCCCCCAATAGAAAAAGTTTAGTCTGCTGAAATTAAATTGCTGCTTGGTCTAAGAGGAAGTAGATTATCATTAGCAAATTTAGGGGAGGGAAACTGAACAGCGAAAGAACATTTTCTTCAAGCTGGCCAGTCCTTCAGTTGTGTTTCAAGCAGCATGAATTCTCTATTCAACACCTTGTTATTTTCACCACTGCTCCTTCTAACCCTCAATATTCGGGATCTGACTGAAGCTTGCAGCTGTAGGCCAGCTCATCCACAGGAACAAATCTGTAATTCTAATATTGGTGAGTCATGAATAATAATAATAATAAAGTTGGAAGGGACCTTGGAGGTCACCTATGCTTTTTACTGGACAGACTAGTAGAGAGGTTTAGAGACATGATTAGCTGTATGCTCACATCTCTGCAATGCTCTAGGGTTCCTATCTAAGAATGAAAATCAGCACTGTAAAAGAAAAAGGTTAAACACTACCACACTGGGTTCCCAGGATAAAATGAATTTCAAAAGCATGTAAAACTGTTTAGTTTATCTTTAATAATTTATCCCTCTCTGTTTAGGTACCAGAGTTTGTTAATTCACGTTTCTATATATGAAACATATATATATATAGTCTCTCTCTCTCTCTCTCTCTCTCTCTCTCTCTCTCCTGCCAAGTATACAATCTGCATAAAGTTTACCATTATGAATATATTAAAGATTTATAATGTGATAATATGAAGAATATGTGACATTTTGTCATTTTATCAATTCAAGATATAGCTTCTATTCAGAATTGAAGAACAAATGTAAAACATTAGTTTCAAAAAAGTCACAAAATTAGCATTTGTATGGAAGAGACAGATCCTTTTGCATACTGATTAGTTGCTTTCCTATGTTGATAAAATCTTTGTATCTATGACAAGCTCTAACCTAAATAAATCCATCAAGAAAATTACCTAAACTAGACAAGCAGTATAAAATGTAGGAGAAAAATAATTCAATTTAATAATAAAATTCAAAAAACAATTCACAAAATGTATGTGTTTGATGCTATGCATTCTTATCATATGTACCATTTTTCTGAAATATCAAACATATTAACACAGCATGTAATTTTGATCAGTTGAGATAAAATAATTATAGAAAGTTAATTTCTGATTTAAGTTTATATTTATATTTCTTTAAAATCCATAGCTCCATAGTTTTGATAGCTTAAGATGAAATGACTAGTTTCTAGGCAGCTTAATTACAAATCACTCAATATTACTTTAGATGGAAAACTAAAACTAAAAATACATTATTTCAGCTGCAGAATTGTTTATTCAGGGCTCTTGGTTTTTAATCTGTTGAGTACTTGTGAGAAGCAAAAGCATGTGAGTATTGGTCTATTCTGCATATACAGAAAATCATATTACACAGTACAAATGTTTTATACTTGTAATCATACAAAACAAATATATAGCAGGTACTAATAGTGAACTCGGTGGTTGATGCTAAAATGGTTGGCGACATCAAGAATGAAAGGGGAAACAAGGCTACAGAAATGTAAATAATATTTAAGAAAGAATATTTTAAAAAACAGATCCATAGTAGAACATCCTCCAGAAATTTTACTGCAACTGTACATGCAAAAATATTCATCATAAAATAGACAGGAATAAAATATTCTGGGACAGAAAATGCTGGCAGAAAGACTCAAATATTTATAGTCTTTAATACATTAATCCTGCTCCCATCTAAATATATTTATTTTTTGTGGTAAACTGCATGGTCACTGTCATTTAAATAGAACTTCAGGATATTATTCATAAAAGTCAATTCTACTAAGTGCTTGAATATTTACTCATTATGTGATTATTTTCTACCATTTAACTTTTATTTATTTACTTGAAGGATTCTTGGTGCTCTCTGAGCACTAAGGACTCCTTATTTCAATCCTGAGCTACAAATATTCTCCTTTATTGATATTTATTTATTTAAATTTAGTGGCTGCCCAGCTCCAATGGATTCTTTAAAAAAGGAATGAGAAATAATAATGGGAGAAGAAAAAATGATACACTATCTACTGAAGCTATTTACAAATGGATATTCTATAGTTGTTATATAATAAGGCTGCTTATATGTAGATCTTGAGTGAAAAACAACAACAACAACAAAAAAAAAACCAGCTGTGTTCTATATCATTGCAAAACAGTGGTCTCTAGAGTGTGGAAGAACTGGAAGTCAAGGAAATTTACCATACTTCAACAGCAGCAAATGAAGCATTTCATAGGGCACTAAGTTAACATTTTCTTTGCTAACCACTTTCAGAGAAAATTTATTTGATGGACAATCCATTAATTTGTTAATAATTCCTAATCCATTCATGATTCTTCTTCCTGTAACATAAAACTTTTGATCTGAGAATAAATAAACTTGATTCTCCAGTTTATAGTGAAGCATATCTCTTATGTCTATGGAGATTCTCAGTCATCCAGGTCATAGTTATCCCAGATACTTTTTCACGAGGCAACTGGACTTCCTTGTTTTTCTTTGAAAATGCTTCGCTTCTTATCTAAGAAACTTCTTCAGCGAAACATCTTCAAAGAAAAACAAGAAAGTCCAGCTGCCTCGTGAAAAAGCATCTTTGGCATATCTGTTATGGTTGTGCCAAAATATCAAACTAAAAATATTTCAAAATGGAATGTTTCAAACTAAAATTCAAAATGCTTTTTTCAATTGGCTTTTTCAGCAAGTGGGAAGTACTAAGACTTCAAAATTCTTCCAGCAACAATCAGAAGAGACTGTTTCATATTTAGGCCAACATTTTCGAAATGACATTTAAAAAAAAAAGAATTGAAACAGTGATGTTATAATGCTAGGATATGTCCAGCCATCTGTGTGCTTAGGCAAGGTAACAAAGATTGGCAGGAACAACTTGAATAGGCTGTTATAGGAACTCAGATATTTTAAAAGTGGCTACTTTTCCTAAAAGATGTTTCATTATTTACACATCATCTAACAAGGACTTGCATCCATATTGCAACAGAAAGAACAGAAAGTACATTGGAAATCGAATGGCTAATAAACCACAGATATGATAACAGGACTAAAAAATTGATATATTTCCCTAAACCACAGATATGATAACAGGACTAAAAAATTGATATATTTCCCTGTCTTGGCAAATATTTCTCTGTCTAGGCAAGTGAATGAGTAATAAATAATCTTCCAAGATTTAATCATTCTTGTGAGAGATTAACTTCCCACTTCCTTACTTACTGCACATCCCATTAGCAATTTGATATTTCTTAAGGCATTAGCAACCTGAATTTGTGCATATAAAAATTTGTTCTAGATAGTGTACAATGAAAAGACTTGCCTGAATGCTGAAGGATCCTGTGACATGGGATAACATTTAATACAAGTAATATAACTTATATTAGTATAAGTTGTATAGTTACACTAATTTAACAACCATGGCAGTTATAGCTCAGGAAATCAGGCATGACTCATTTGGTAACTGCCTTCCTTAGCTACAGAAATTCTGGTCACAATTGTGATCGTAAGTCAAGAACTCCCTGTGTCTGCATATTATATCATTTTTCTTAATCTATCTTTGAGGAAAATTGGTACTCTGTTTTTCAATATTGGGAACTTTAAGATGAGTGGACTTCAACTTTCAGAATTCCCCGCCAGGAATACTGGGAATTCTGGAAGTCGAAATTCATCCACTTTAGAGATGCTAAGATTGAGAAAGCCAAAACTGCTGGGAAGAATCCCTGAAAATAGAGGAAAGGGAGCTGGCCCAGACCATCAACAGTCTCCTGCCATAGCAGTTCGTTCTTTCCCTCTTTCAGCGGGCCCATATATAATTGCCCTGTGACAAAGAGAGAAGTTCTTTTTAGTGTTTGAAAACTATTCTTGATTTACTGTATGTCTGTTTATCATCATAGTGCATAAGCTAATTTGTGTCTTGAAAGACAGGATGTAACTCATTTTAATAAAATAAATAATTATTTTCACATTACTATGACTTTTTGGGGGGAAACAGGTATTTTTTCAGTCAATTTTTATTAATAATGTTTAATTTTATTTCAGTGATTCATGCAAACATACAGAGTAAAAAAGTGGTTAAAGATTCGGATTCTTGGAAAATCATCAAGTATGAAGTCAAACAAATAAAGGTATCTAAAACCCTTTTTCTGTTTTAAGGCATAAATGATAGAAAAAGACATGCATTTAGGAGATTAAAATTTGCTTTGTGTCATTCTATTGACATTTACAACCAGTGCTTCAATAGGGAGTAAAGACAACTGTAGATGGATAGTGCTCATGCAAATCTTCCATTTCAGAAGTGAAACAAAGCAGGAAGTAAACAGGCTATTCCAGGGCTTTTTTTCTCATAGAACACCCAGAACAGAGTTCCGGCACCTTTTTTGGATAGAGCCTTGTAAAATAGGTAAGGCAGGTTTGTATGACATGTATGAGTTTTGGCACCTTTTTTTTTTTTTTTTTAGAAAAAAAGCACTGGGCTCTTCTCACTATTTTAGTTAACAAGGTAGCATCGCTGTTCTTATAATGCAGTGTTTCTCAACCTTGACAATTTTAAGGCATGTGGACTTCAACTTCCAGAATTCCACAGCCAGCAATGCTGGCTGTGGAATTCTGGGAGTTGAAGTCCACATGCCTTAAAATTGTCAAGGTTGAGAAACACTGTTATAATGCAAATCTACAGCTCTGAATAGGAGTCAGTGAGCAGAATTGTCTCACTTATTATCCAATAATGCCAATAGTGCCTCTTCCCACTATCTTTAGCTTTGCATAAAAAAAATACTTCTCTCAAAAAAAACCAAACCAAAAAAAAAAAAATTGAAAGTATCTCATCTGCTCACCATAGTGGCTATCTGACATGATTTATACTTTAGTCCCTGACCTGCAGCTCTGGAACTATGCTGGCAGATCAAGGATTGGGAATTAGGTGCTCCTGTACAGCTCTCCTGTAGAAATTATTGGAACAAAATGCTCCTGTGCAGCTGCAAACAAATGTTACCCATGTGCAAAAAATATTTAACTGTGTCAAGAGGAAAACAAGCCAAGAGAGATCCAGAAAGACTGTCAATTAATCAGTGGAAAACTCAGTTTCCTCTTCAACTGGATTGGAACTCATTTCTGAGTCAACACCTTTAGTTACATAAGAACTCAGTAGGTAAGGGAGAAAAATAGCATCTCATCCATAGTCAGAATAAATGACTTTGAATTTGAAAACAACCAGTGTAAATTTAATTACAAATATGTGTGTCAGAAACAAAACTTGAATAATTCCAAACATTAGTTTTGCAAATAGACCATTCTTGTATGACCAGAATTTATGTTTTTTGAAACAATACAGCATTACAGAAATATGAAGAATCCTTAAGACACAAGAGAAACAAAAGCATAGTATATTTTAAGAGATCTAATATCCCACAACAAAGTTAAGAGAGAAAAAAGGAATAATTTGATCTGTAAATAATATCAACTTTATTTCATATATATTACCAGATTTCCTACCAGGATGATGTCTGTAAGGTAATTAAAACATATTGATTAATAACCTTAAAAATATATTGGTAGGATCAGGTTATATGAGATTATCAAGAGCTGTGGTGGCACAGTGGTTAGAACGCAGTATTGCAGGCTAATTCTGCCAACTGCCAGCAGTTTGATCCTGACCGGTTCAAGGTTGTCTCAGTCTTCCATCCTTCCAAGGTTGGTAAAATGAGGACCCAGATTGTTGGGGGCAATATGCTGACTCTGTAAACCGCTTAAAGAGGGCTGTAAAATACTATGAAGTGATATATAAGTCTGCTATTGCTATCTGTTCTGCACACCTTTGCTAGAAAAAGGATTCTGTTTTTCCCATTTAGTAACTACTGTTGATTCACCTACTATTGACTATATTGGCTGTTACATTTTTTTGCACTGCCTTTTAGAATGAGAACTTGGGTATAGTATAGTAAATAGTTTTGGTCCTTTGTAGAGATGATGTTATATAAAGCACAATCTTTCTAGAAACGTTAAAACAAATTAAATAATTATCAACGTTATTTCAAGTAGGAACTAAGAGATTATGACATCAACAAATATACTAAATTTTTACACTATAATAACCATTTACTCCCAATGGGATTAATGCATGCATATATGATTTTTTTTCCTTCCAAAGAGAGAAAAAACAGGAGTAATACATTTCCCCTCTGTTTATATTACTGTTTATGGCAACCATTGGTTACTTTTTTTTTCTTACTCCAAGTGCAACTCGGATTTGCAGCAAACAAAAAGCCAAACTGGTTATTCCTGTTTGTATAGAGTTTCCTTATTGGAAGAAAGATTATTCTGCCCAACAAGGCTATCCAAGTTGTATTCCTACGTGGTAGTAGCTGGAATTCATATTTTCTTTTATTAGTTTGGCAGTATGAGGTCTATGTTTGCTTCTGGAAGATGGAAACATAGCCACCTCTATTCATGATTTGTTATTTCCAAATTAAATAAATATAATAAAGATGCTTAATGTACTATAGAAAGCAGCAGCTTACCTAAAATGGATTTTTATGTACTAATTATCTGTTTTGAAATACCTGCCCTATCATTTCATTTCTGTTCCCAATTCAAAGTACTGATTTTAATTATCTTTAGAAAGGATTTTGTCCCTGTGTTTTTAAAAATATTTTTATTTGACATTTTTTCTTTTTCCATACAGTTTGCAAATGATTTTATTTATATATTTATTTATAACATTTGCATAATCATCCATCTTAAAACCAAACCCAGGCAGCTTACAACCAACAAAACAGTTATGGAATCATACAACCAATAATGATAAAACTAAAAAGCAGGAAAATCTGGAACTACAATGATATTGAGGCCAACTCTCATCTCAGCTTCACCTTGCCTTATCTTATAGCCTGGGGGGGAAGCCATGTTTTGAGTGCCCTCTGAAAGGGTAAGGGGCTTTTTGGATGTCCAGAGGGACAGTGTTCCATAGGGCAGGGGGCGTAATGGAAAAGGACCCACAAGATGGCAATGTTTCAGAGATCTGGAACATGCTACCCTATTCACTTTGGTTTTAACTTTAGAAATTAACATGAACGTCATATATTCGTAATTTAAGAGAACTAAATAATCCTATAAGCAAGATTTTAGTGAGAAAATATTTTGTATTATGATTTACCATGCCTAGTTGGGAATTACTATTTTGAATAATAAAATGAATTTAAATCAAGACAGTGACTATTATTTATTTTTTTAAATTTATATACCGCCCATTTCACCAAGAGGTGACAGGTAGTCCTTGACTAATTAGCACAACTCAGAATAGAAATTCCATTATTAAGTGATATGGTTCCTAAGTGAGTCATGCCCAATTTTATGATCTTTTTTCCATAGTCGTTAAGCGAATCGCCATAGTCAATAAGGGGTCTGATTTTTCCCATTGATTTTGCTTGGTCAGATGCTGGCTAGGAAAGATGCAAATGTGACCCCAGTATACTTTACAACCCTTCCTTTACAATGATTTTCTCCTTTGTAGAGTTTTCTCTCACGGCCAGTTATTGTTTGATTATGTACCACCAAGTCATTCTTGACTCTTAGTGACCACTTAGATTTTTTCCATGAAGATCTGTCCTTATACTGACCATTCAGCTCTTCCAACTCTACAAAGGGGAAAACCATTGTAAAGGAAGCTTTGCATAGTAGTCCTTGACTTCTAACCCCTAATTTAGTGACCTTTCAAAGATACAATGGCATTGAAAAAAGTGACTTATGATTAATCCTTGCACTAATGATCTTAGCAGACTCCACACTGTCATGTGTTCAAAATTTGGGTACTTGGCAACTAGAATTTTACAACGGTTGCAGTGTCTAGGGGTCACATTTGCAACTTTTCTAGTTAGCTTCTGATAAGCAAACTCAATGGAAAAAGTCAGATCCCTTAATGACTATGGTGATTGCTTAACGACTATGGCAAAAATATCATAAAATTGGGCATGACTCACTTAGGAATCAGACTTTTCCCATGACCATTGTAACTGACTCTATCTACTTTTCTACTGATTATCCTCTTCTTTTTTCCTTCCATCTTTCCTGGTGTTAGAGCCTTGTCCAGGAGACTAGATTTTCACATAATGTGTCCATAGTAGGGTAACTTCAGCTTTATTGTTTGTGCTTTGAGTGAGGACTTGTGAGGGTTTGTTCAATTATCCATTTGCTGTTTTCTTGACTGTCCATGGTATTACAATTAAAGTACCAATCTAATTCATGTATGGGTGTCCACTGTAAAACCAACAACCCCCTGCCAACAACAAGTAATCAAACAAGTCACTGTTCCTATGTTGTCTTGTATAGAGATTTAGAAAGCACAATAGAAAAAGTGGGAAGCTAAATAGTGCAGAAGTTACTATTACAATAACACAGCATAATGTTAACCTGCTTTATACAGGCTTACATAGAATTTTATTTTTCCTAATAGATGTTTAAAGGTTTTGAAAAGGTGAAAGATGTTCAGTATGTTTTTACACCATTGACAGAGGCAACCTGTGGGATAAAATTAAAGAAGAAGAATGAGTATCTCCTTTCAGGTATAGTATATTAAGTTGTTAAATTCCATACAAAATCAATATTTGAGCCTTACAGCCATCAGTGACATTTCTGTTAAAAATGTAAACATTTCTAGAAAACTCTCTCTTTCTCTCTCTCTCTCTCTCTCTCTCTCTCTCTCCCTCCCTCCCTCCCTCCCTCCCTCTCTGTAGCATTTAGAAATAAACTGGATCTACCTCCTAAAATAAATTAAAATAAATCAATATTTTTTATTTCCCTGTGGGAAGAATCCATAGAAAGAAATATTTTGGGAAATATTAAAAAGGCAGAATATATTTCCCCAAAGGATTTTAAAGGCAGAAACCAAACCCCTCCCTCAAGTCTCTCTGCCCCCAACTCTGCAGAAATGCAAATGTGAAAGATTGTCAGAAAGATTGGAGTCAGGAAGCTAGCATTAGAAAGATAAAGATCCCTAGAATCAACAATCCCTCACACCAAAAAAATCCAGTCTCTCTGCCCCCAGCTCTGCAGAAATGCAGATGTGATAATCTTGTCAGAAAGATTGGAGTAAGGAAGCTAGGATTAGAAAGATAAAGATCCCTAGAATCAACAATCCCTCACACCAAAAAAATCCAACACTTATCAGCCACAGCCCCAGGGAAGCAGTATATAACCATTGGAATATAACAGGATTAAACCACTACCATCAGAATACCACAAAGGCAGACTCAGATTCAGATCAAAGTTCATGCCACAGGAACAACTCCAAACAAAAGTCGAAGAAGGTATAATGACCCACCACTCCCTACTACATGTGGTCAGTATTTTTCCAGAGCCATCTTTCTGTCTGGCTCTCCTCTTCAATAAACTGCAATCTTCTTTCTAAAGCAGTGTCCATTTTGTTTATTTCTGGTTTGGACTGGACCCTGATGAAGAGGGGATTGGACAAGATTTGTAAGTATTGGTGACATATAAAGTTAAATCATAATTGCTGGGTCTATAATAGGTTATATATTCTACTAGACAATTTGATTGATTTAGTGCCTGTGGATTATGTCTTTGGCATTGAGAATGTCTGAGTCCCTTGTTTCAACATTTTCTTTGATTCAGGTAAAATGGGGAATGATGGAAGAATTTTTATTTCCTTATGCAATTTTATTAAACCATGGAATGAACTTACTCTCGCTCAAAAGATAAATCTACATAAGAATTATGAAATGGGCTGTGACTGTAAAGTAAGTATAAAAATTAGATTTTTCATATATTCTATACCTCTCATGAGCGCTGGTACAATTTTCTCATATGTCCCTTTAGTAGGTATTTACTATTAGAAAATCAATATGAGATGTTCCTGCAAACTTCACTAACAACAAAGGTGTAGCAAAAGAGATTCAAAAGATGACTTTTTCTTAAAATTAAGGTTGGCAGAGCTTACAAAACTGTCAGGAAAAGAAGTTCTAATAATAGAATAGGATGTTCTGAAGTCAGAACTTTTCAATCTCTAGACATTTTGCATATTACTGGTTATAAGTGTATAAAATTAATACCTTATAATTATCATATTCAGAACTTATTGTTCCTGTTTATGTTACCGCTTAGCTTTTCAAATAGATTTGTTGGATCATGTGGTCATTAATACATATTTTAAGATTCTGCCCATAATGTCTTCCATGACCACCAACTTATTTTTAAGATCCAGATATACCTGCACTGATATTCAATAAAGTATGTCCTCAATTGTGCATACTTGAATTCAATCTCTCTTGAAACTTCCCTAATCAATGCAGAATGGATAAATAAATCTTAACCTGTAACACTACCTGGATATATTTAAATGGTTACAGAAAGTATAATTCAATTCAAGTAATATCTATTGTTTTAAGATAATTTGTTTACGTTAGTCATTTAAGAATTAATCTTACCCTTAATCTAATTAGCCCATATGCTATCAAATAATTTCTGGGTTTTTTGTTTGTTTGTTTTTTTAAAAAAACCTTTCACTAGACCAGGGCTTTTCAACCAGTGGTACGGGTACCACCTGTGGTACATTGGCACCTGGCAGGCGATACGCGACCATCCTAGAAAAGTGGTAGTGGGGGAGGGGAATGAGCTGAACTGGTGGCAGCACCGCACAAGCCTGAGCAAGAGATGGCTGGAGCTGCAGGGCTGTCAGGGCTCAGCAGAAGCGCCAGGATCAGTGCCGCTTTCCACTGATCAATGCTTCTTTGGGGCTGTCAGGGCTCAGTGGAAGCACCAGGATCAGCGCCAGGCTCCAGCTGGAGCTCGATGCTGATCCTGGTGCTTCTGCTGAGCTCTGAAGAAGTACCAATCACCTGGAAAGCCACACTGATTCTGATGCTTCTGCTGAGCCCAGAAGAAGCGCCAATCAGCTGGAATGTTGCAGCATCTCCAGGGTCTTATGATTTACATTCAGATGCTTGGCAACTGATTCATATTTATGATGGTCACAGTGTTCCAGGGTCATATAAAGTGACCAGAACCTGCTGCAACCATCCAGCAGATGGGGGGAATAAAAATCAAACACCCCCACCCCACCCCCATTGCCAATCCTCAACAGAAATGCTCACAACAATGAAAACCTCAGACAGGAGAAAGAGCGCCACCGGGTGCTGTCTTGCTCAGCTGTGGCTTGGGGGGCACTTTTTTCAGTGCCATTGTAACTTCAAACAGTCACTAAGCAAACTGTTGTAAGTCAAAGACTACCAGTACTTTATCACTTTTTTCTTTTCTTTTTTCTTTTTTTGGTCATCAAGTTTTTACACCTTGCTAGGTGATTGGTGGTACTCAGATGTTGCCATATCCTAAAAGTGGTACAATGGGTGAAAAGGTTGAAAAGCCCTGCACTAGACCACTGTACTTGTGCATTCCATGCTGCTCTCTGAGCTTGGTTATTTTTTGCAGATGTTTCATAATCCAACTGGGAAATCTCTTCAGTGTACTCTCTGCTCTCTGTTTATATACAGTGGCTTGCTCTATCAGTGTTAGTAGGAGTGTTTTTGTTTTTTTCTTGATACTTCCTTCATTAGGCTGTTGTTCACTGTCTGAGTTGGGTAATGAAATGTCTGCAAAAAAGAAATAACCTTGCTCAGAGATCACTCTTCTAATGGTACTGTACAACTGTATCATCAACATCATTACTTTTTCTTAATACCAAGATAAGAAGGACTAGCACCAAAATATGCATACTGCATACTTCCAAGATGGTTTTCTGCAGTTAATGTGCACACTGTAGACCTCAAGGTGATGCATAACAGTCTTTTAGTTGCACAAAAGCACTTTGGTACAAAACTATAGTCTGTATGTTCAATTAATTCAAGAAAAAAAACCTTGAAATAATATTTTGTATTGATATAGATTTCTATATGACATAATTCATTATGCATTATGTATTTATAATTCTCCAAAGTTCTATCCTTGTCTCATCTCAAGGCACATGTCAATTTTAGAAATAATTTATGAATTGTCGGTACATCTTTACATAGAAAAATGATAAGTAAATGTCTACACATTATAAAATATGATTTCAGAGTAGAAAAACAGAGAACTCATGTAATTTTCTGCACTTAGATTATTGGCTGCCCTGAAGAACCTTGTCCCATCACAACACCCAATGTATGCCTATGGATGGATTGGCTGAAAGAGCAGACGTTCTATGGACGTCAAGCAAATAATTATGCCTGTTTCAAGGACAGTGATGGACCTTGCAGTTGGCATCATGATTCTTCCATCAGTGAACCATAAATAATATAAGTTTTTGGGGAAACCTGAGCGGTTATGTTTATCCATGTTGCCTGTTTAATGGTCCTTTGAACTTTCAATAATTGTCTTTCGCTTAGAATCAAAAGCAGACTGTGCAGTGTAATTAAAACACAGAATACATAGAATTGGCATCCAGAATAATGTAAAAATGACATTCCTGGCAGTAGCTGTTTTCTACAGTTATTTCACTAAATTTGTAAGGAAACATCCCTGTTTTTTAAGAAAGAATGCTTATTTTTTTAAAGAAAGTAAGGTTTATTAAAATTGTAATTTCTACTCCTGTTAATACATTGCAAAATTTGAAATGATTAAAATAATACTGTTTTAATCCGAAACATTACCTTTGAATGAAAAAAGACTTGCTCGTTTCTATAGTCATTTTTTTAAAAAAGAGAAAGAATTAAAAAATAAAATATAATAGGCAGTTGTAAAAAAATTAAAGATAAACTTTTGCCTTCCAAGATCACAGATGGTAATTTTTCTTTTAGTATATATCATCTGAAATGCTTGGTTTCAGTTTTCTGTATTTTACTTTTTATGGCTCAATGTATTTCGTCACGTTATTGAAAGATTTGTTTATAACTATAACAACTATCATAATCAAATAGTCCAATCAATTGGGATATACTGTAAATTAAAACTAGCAATTCTGTTACATAATAATTATGACACTGGACCTGAGCTACTGGAAGGGAGATATGACTACAATAAACAAACCATAGAAATGCATACTTTTGTGAAAAAAAGAATATTTTCTAGTTTGAAATGGTTACCAAGTCTTGCTACTTACATAAGAGTAAATAAAGGAATGTGATGGAAGAAAACATGGGCCAAAAATGATAAGTAATAATCAGTGCAGAATAGGCTAGTTTCCCCCCCCCCCCTCAACTACAAAAGTGTTGAAACCTGGTTAATTCCTAGACAGCGTATTTTGGAAATTTTGAAGCATTAGCACAGGAACATTTTTTTGTAACTCATTAATTGCATTCAGAACCTTCCAGGCAGATTAGTATACATCAGTTTAGAGGCAGTATGAATACATTAGGAATTGGCCATTATTTTCTGGTTCATATCAAACCTTATTTATTTCTTAATTCTTGAAAAAGCTGAAGACTTTTTGAATGATCTTAAAAGCTGAATTATTATCAATTAAACTTTTAATTCATAAATATCAGAGAAGAGCTGGCAGCAGTAAGTTGAGTTTCTTTCCTTATTTCTTTTGTTAATTTTCAAAGCTTTAATGAATAAGTTGATTTCTTAGAGTGAAGAGAGATGTTTTAAAACTACGATGTAAAGTGGGAAATGAAGGTTGATATCTTATTTAAAATATTTTGCAAGAATCAATTCCAGCATATCTGGACCATTTCAAAATCAACTGCAATCTTTTAGCTTTTTTTAAAGGAAGGATGGGCATTTTTAAGCTTTTTTATTTGTGATAAATATCCACCAAGGTATTTCATATAGTTAATGCTAGCTAAATACATATTGAAAATATGCATACAGTAAAAAATAGATAAAGACCACATGCACAGACCCATGATCTATGTAAGACACCAATTTAAAAAATACAAGGTATAATGTTGACTGAATCAAAATCGGTGACAGAACATTTGTTCATTTTGAAAGGTAATAAATTTAAATAGTATTAATAGTTTAATAATTCTATAAACATGATTAAAGCTGAAACTCCACTGGAATCTAAGATAATATTTCAAAAAGACAATGGATTGTGAAATTGATCTTAAAATAAATTTGGAACTTATTAAACTTACTACCTTTGTGCTGGCTTTTTGTTTCTTTTATACTACAAGAAAAAAGTATGCAGTTATTAGAGCAAAATAATTTTTCTGTTGCTCTGTATATGTATAGAAAATATCAATGAACAGCCTAAATAAAAAGGAGAAGACACTAGGAGCCACCTTTCTAACAGCACTATTATATTAAAGTGCTAAAGTTGAGCGGTCAGCCCTGAGCTACAAATATTCTCCTTTATTAGTTTTTGAAGTTTGAATTAAAAGGATGCTGTTTAATGCAATCAGACACCATTTTATATGAACATCAGAATAAGACAATATATGCTGCTTCCAGACATTTCATATACCGGCTCATTTTCAAAGTATAATATATTTAAAAATATCTTGAAGAAATGGCATGGTCGGAATCTCACTTCATGCGCTATTAGTAAAGGTTTCTAACCAGAACTTTGTGTTCTAATTTTAATGTTGAAAAGGTACTCATAAAAGAATGCTAATCTTATGATATAATTTGTTTTTGATATAATCTTTTCCATTTTAATCTTTAATTCATGCACCATTGCAAGTAGAAATCATTGCTGAATGGCCAGGATTTAAGCCTGAATGCACATATATCAAGTCTCTTTGTCACAGACATACAAAAGTTGGGAACTTCTAATTTGAATAGTGAAATGTTAAAACATGAAAATAATTTCCCCTTGGTGCAATGTATGGGCCACTCAAAATCTTTCAGCAATTACCATAGAGAATAATAGCTAATTTATTTCCACCCATCCATAAAAAAAGAATGGATAGATGAGGCTGTGTATGTGATTTTTAGGACATAGGGTATTTTGCTGTTGGCTAGAAATTACTAACTATAGCCTCATTCGCTTGTGTGACTATGAGATATATCTTAAAACCACAACCAGTCTTCTTTCCAACACAATTAAAGCTGATTTCGCACTCAAAATCTGTTTAATTTTTTAGTTAGTAAATATCAGAACAAGCAGAATAATAGTAATAGTAATAATAATAATAATAATAATAATAATAATAATAATAATAATAATAATAATAATAATATACCAAAGAGGCATGGTGGCACAGCTGTTAGAATGCAGTATTTCAGGCTGACTCTGCTCACTGCAAGCAGTTCGATCCTGACCGGCTCAGGGTTGACTGAATTTCCATCCTTCCGAGGTCAGTAAAATGAGGACCTAGATTGTTGGGGGCAATATGCTGACTCTTGTAAACCACTTAAAGGGGGCTTAAGAGCACTGTGGGGCAATATATATAAGTCTAAGTCCTAGTGTTAGTGTTAGTGCTACAGTGTTAGTGTTAGTGCTATAGAAGCATCTAATTCCCAACCCTTTGCTAGCATAGTTGCAAGCTGCAGGCCAGGATGAAGGGACCAAAGAAGAAATCATATCAAAGGATACCCACTATGATGAGCAAATGAGATGGGGTTTAGGACAACTGGATGCAGCCAACTTGCCACAGGCCATCTTGTCATGGGAAAAGAGTTACACTAATATTGAAGAAATGATGCAATAGATGCAAAAGGACAAAATGAAATATGAATGACAAAAATTAAAATAATTTTTAATTATTTTAAATATTTAAATTGAATTGTTGAATTGTCCTGCAATGAATTGTCCCACAGTGAGTTGGCCATGGCGGGTTGTCCTGTAGCAAGTAGGTTGTGGTGAGTTGGCCATGCCAAGTTGTCCCATTCCGTCTAGGTGACCGTGAAAAGCTAAGCTGAACTGAACTTTGTTTCTATCTTGATAAGAGACTACCAGGAAATCCCAGGACTATAAACTAGTCCTAGTGAATAAAAACAACCTGAAAGAAAACAATGGAAAACCAGTGTCCATATTGTTGGCAAGAACACAATACAGATGTGTCCATGTGCTTTCCATGAGAGAATTTAATTTCAGAATTACAGGCTTAACAATCCTAAACCTTTCATTGTGAAGGAAAAAAGGTTGGGGCATGCAAATATCTATATGTCTGAGATGTCAGGAATTGGCCCTCTTGTTGCTGTGAGTAGGGTTCACTAACCCCTTCCTCCCACAATCTCCTTCCAATCAAGTTCCATGCTTGGATATAGTCAGCATACTGTTATGTATCTATAATCTGGAATAAACATGAGGGTTTTTTTCTTAGCATTTGCAGGTTGTGGAGTTCTAGGTAGTGAAGAACAGACTTAGGATCTACAAAAATAATAGCAAGATCAAGCAGCCTTAGGTTTTAGGACCACCTGTATCTGAGAGCCTTCCGTCACTGTTTCTGTATGGGTTAGCATTAAGTGGTACAAAGCTTGGGAGTTTTCTAGGTTCTTAGTTCCTTGCTGAAAAGCAGATGGCAGCTGTGGCTAGGAGAGTTTTTGAACCAACTGCACCCATTTTTTAGATTAATACTTTAGACACCAGTTAGACTAATGCAATGCTCTCTACATATATCAAGTTGCCTTTGAAGACTACTCAGTAGCTACAGCTGGTCCAGAGTGCAGCACCATTAATATGTTGATAGGACTCTGCAACACTTCTCTTTTGTGAGCTGCTCTGGCTCCAGTGGGCTTCTGGGCACCATTGAAGTGATGGTTGACACCTACAAAGTTCTCACAGCACATGGCCAGGCTATTTGTGGACATTAAACAATGTCCTCTAATGGCATCCAGGAAGCATGCTTCTCTGTTACATTATGTGATGCATTTTTAATCTTTGTTGAATTGTTTTAACACTTAGCAACAGTTTTATGCTAAGTGGGCAACATACAAACTGAATGAATTAATGAATGGCAATACATAAGGTCCCTGTTGTGTCCTCCTATATTCCAGAAGAGTGCCTATTCAGTAATTTTGGCCATCAGACTCCCTTCTCCAGAAAAATAATCTCTGCCACTGAATTATTGAGGAGCAGCTTAGTAGCTTCTCTTTATCTACTTTCAAGAATGGAGAAAGTTAAAAATCTTTTATAATGAGAGTACTGATTTCAGTATGAGTTGACTTAGTAGGCAAGGAAGCTGGGGAGGTTTCTAACCTTCTCTCCCTGTGTTGGTGGTCATAATCGGCTCTTGCTACAGGTAAGTGCTAACTACTTTGTGTAGCATTTTAATAGTTCCCTCTATTACCACTTATATTTCAGAGGCATCTCATCTGGTATATTAGCTTTGATGTGATTAAAGATTTCACATCTTGTATTGTTTTTCTGACAATTGAAAGGTCAAAAACGTAAATGTTGAAATGATTCCAATAATGCTATTTTCTATCCATATATTCTATAATGCATGATAAAGGATTTTATTTCTACCAATCCTCTGATGAGATAAAACAGAATCCAATTTACTTTTTTTAAGCAGAAATAAATTATATCATACTTTTTCACTTGAAACTTGAAAAGCACACAGCCACACTTAGTGAAGTAGAATTATAAAGTTCCTTGATAAAGATTATCAACTAAACAGAAAGCCCATGAGACCATGAAAAACAAATGTTCCAAACTGACCACAGTGTGTGGGGGGGGTTGTGTACATACACATATTAAAAATAATATCTTCCTGCCCAACCAGAAGGGTAGAACACAAAGTCAAGGATTACACTCATTTTTCTAATTTGCATACAGGAATGAGAACATTGACCTTACCTAGCAATAAACAGAAAAAGAAAGAAATAAGCTAATTCAGATTGTCATTGGAATACACACTTTTACAGAAATAACTGCTTTTCTAAAGCTTTGACTATCTCCACCCACTACCTAGTTTGTCAGATTTGTAGATTTAATTGATAGATCAGTTTTAAGTTTTCCTTTCATTTTTTTCATGTCTCAAATTTTGGGATTAGTTTTCTCTCCATTCACTATAGATAATTATTTTTGACACAGCACAGAGTTTCTGTGTGTGGCAGTTTGATTAATGATTAATTAATTCAACTTTCATACCAATACTTTATTTTCATTGGATTCTCTTTTTCTCACAATCAATAAAAATTGGACATGTTTATTTTTTCAAATCAAATGAATACATTTTACTTTCATCATCATATATTATTCCAGGAACAATACATTAAATCACTATTTTGGCTTTGGTTTGAAGAAACAGAAAGACAGTCAACTAATACTTGCCTTTCAGTATTAAACTAGTATATTAAATAATATATGTCATATTTGAAAGTGAAACAGAAATGGTGGTAAGAGAAAGACAAATGTTGTCAAAATTGTTTACACAATTTTCAAGTTTTTCAGAATTAAATAATATAGTATAGAAACCTTTCATTAATAATATATACATGAAATGCATTTTTAAAGTCAAAATTTCACACAAATTATGCAATTTACAAGAAAAATAAAGCACAGTTTGTGTCTTAATCTGAGCTGTCTAAAATTAATGTATTTCAAAAAAGAATATATCTCATTTCAATCTCTGTAGCTTTAAAAACACCAGGAATGTTTTCCCCATTGTCAGGAACTCAAGTATTTTATAGAGTAAACATCTTTGTTTCATAAAATCAGGTAAAACAAGAGGATAATACACAGATAAAATGAACTCATGGATTATTACAGCTGCCTCTTTCAAATGCAGAAGGAATGAAAATTTATGTTTATGATTTGCTCTTACCATTTCCTTGTGATTTGGATAAAATGTTTGCTCGATCAGAGGAAATTTTTCTGCTCCCAAGGTTCTATAGATGGACACCAATTGGGCAAACTACAGAAAAATAAAACATTAAATTAAATTAAACATTAAATTCCAAAGACAGTTAATATAGAAATCATCTCAGCATTCCTCTGCAATCCTCTAATCATTATCTATCAAAATCTCAAATTCTAAATACCAAAATGCATTAGTGCTTGCCAGATTATTATTATCTATAGAAAAAGGAAGTAAAAAGGTGCACAAAAAGCCTTACATTAATAATCAACTCTCATGCCACATTTATGATGAGGTAATTTAATCCATATTCCTTTCTTTTTATTCAGTCTTGCAACTGCAATATACTTCGTAGTTACCACTAATAACTGAATGAGATGTTTAT